CCCCCCCCCCCCCCCCCCCCCCTCCTCCCCCCCATTATGTACTCCCTCGCCTTGTGTACTTCCAGTAAACGCATGTGAATGAGCGTCGTTAAGAGAACAGACAAAACGTAAGTTACCCTTTTGCTCTGCCTCCTTTTAGAGCGTGCAAGTGGGCCGTAAGGGCACACGCCGATGTGGGCAGCTCGCGCGTCAACCAATGTTAGTCATTTTTTTAAATCCGTTTTCGTTCCCTGGACCACATCGCCCTTTCGGGTTTGGCGGTCGTTGTTTTTCCCCGCTCGTGTTCTTTTGTTACCTTTTTTCTTTTTTTTTCACCTCACAGTTCGAAATTTGAATCGATGATTTTCAGCACGCCTTCTCACAGATTTTTCGCTTTTTGTGTTTAGGTATGAGGTTATGTGTCTGACATCCTACCACCGTCTACATCCCAAAAGAAGGTACTGTCATTTTGCTGTATCTTCAGTCTGGACTGAAATTTTGGCCAAATACCGGGGGGTGTAATGACTGCACTACGTTGTATTCGGGGGAAGTCGGTACTACCTTCTTCCCCCGAATACAACGTACGGTCGTTATAGCGGTATCTAGACTGAAAGATGCCTCAAATACAGATACAATGGCCGTACGTTGTATTCGGGGGAAGCTAGGAGGATAGAACACATGATTTCATGTGGTGTGAGGCAAAAAAGAAATCTTAATTTTGGTGAATTGGGAATCACTGACAATATTATATTCTTTGAGTGAATCTCTGTTCAGGCAGGTGGTAACATAGAAATAAAAATAGATGAGAAAGTGTATAATGTTGAAAGAAAGGAAAAAAAAGGAAAATGTGACAGGCTCACAGCAGCACCAGGTCTCCCTCATGCTGTTTTCACATCGAAATGCCGGCGGCAACAAGAAGGCTGATGATCACAATCTGTACTCTCTCCTTCACACAATCACCTGCCTGCCAAAACATAAGCTAAGGATATCCTCTCCCAACTGAAGCACTACATCAGAAGGAGGGATCTCCCAATCTGTACTTTCTTCCCTTAGACAGGGATCTCCAAAATCACTTCCCTCCCCCCCACACACCCACCCACCCACCCACCCAGAAAGAGAGAGAAGAGGTAAGGGATGATCGAGTTCGAAGTAACAACACACACTGTGACAGGTAACCAGTCAAGTGCAAATCCATTGCTGATTGTGGTCCTGGTTGTGGTTGCCCCGCCAACAACTTAAGAGTACCAACAATCACTATAGAGTCCAGTATGACTACTCAGGCGGCAGACCATAGCTGCCATGAAAATCTACCCAAAATTAAAAAAAGCTCACTAGCACACCTATTCCCCCTTTGAGCAGTCAGCCGCTGGAGTGTACAACAAACAACGTAACCAGAATACAATGCGGAATGATTCCCGTTTCATCAATTCTTCAGAAGTTTATCTGCGCAGCAGCGCGCAAATGACATATCCGCACCAGATTGCCTGATTGCCTAGAGGCTAGAAGGCTAGAACCATCAGATCTGAAGTCTGTAACTGCACCGGGATCGACCTCTCCTCTCCGTCATGCTGCTGCACAAAGTCGCAAAACCACCAGATTGATGCCTACGCACCACAGAAAGATGCCATAGCGGCTTTCCACAAAAAAAAAAAAGCAGATTAGAAAAAAAAAACAATTTAGAAATCTGATTCTATATCACTCTTCCAAGGCACCAGAGTGGCCATTCTCTTATTCCCTTTTTGAAACTGAAAATCTGATAATTGTGCCAATTTGCTGATTTACCTGGTCCCGTCTGCACTCACATACATCTGTTAGTTAACAGATCCTGACTCCTCTTTCTGAATCCTGTTATACATGTTCACACCAACTTTCACGACTTCCTCTACCTCGCTTACCCGTCTATTTTCCCAAATTATCAGTACCTAGTAGTAAGAGTCATGTCCCCCCCCAAAAAAACCTAATAACTAAATAAAAGCCATATCCAAAACTAGTGAAGTCGTCCATAGAGCTTGAAAAGCATCAAAGAGAGAATGAGTCACAGACAATTATCATACGAATTACCCGTCTCTTTTCCCAATGAGTACCTGGTCGTAAGAGTCATGTCCCCGCCTCGCAAAAAAAAAAAAGAAAAAAAAAAGAAAAAAAAAAAGAAAAAAGCCATATCCAAAACTAGTAAGTTGTCCACAGAGAGCTTGAAAAGCATCAAAGAGAGAATGAGTTACAGACAATGATCATACAAATTATAGTCCCTCCTAGCATGTGTCAGGCTGATCTGGAACTAGTTATTGTTTACTTAACATTGAGAAGAAAAATATCAAAAAAGTCAAAGCCATGCGACGGAACATCATCAGTCAGGCTGCGGACACATCTCCGGCCCCTGGGACTCCTTGGCTTATGCGTCCTCAAGACAGTCTGTGAGAGCCACCTTCTGGGCAACTTGCTCAAGCACCAGCAGAATCCCATCGGACACCTTGTTTGGTCGACAACGCTTACTGGAACTGGCGCAGCTCAGCCCCAAGTTGGCGATTTCCCGAGCAAGAGCAATATCCCAGCAGCCCGCATTCGGGTCGAGAGCATTCTTGAAAGCTGCCTCGTCTTCAATAGCGTCCTCTATGATGCCGAGTGCGTTCCAGAACTTCCCGGTCAGCATCTCCAAGAGAGTGATACCCAACGCGTAGATGTCCGTCTTCTCATTCAGGACGCCGCACTGAAAATACTCTGGGGCTATGTACTGAGAGTTACTTCCCAGGACAAGCCGCACGGAAGTTTCTCGAGCCCCATGCCCTCTCTGCACTCCTCGTGTCTGATCGGAGACAAGCAACGCCTGATCCACCTCACCGAGCTTGGCGGCGAAGCTTTCGTCCAGGAAAATGTTTGCCGGCTTGATGGCACGGTGGATGATTGGACCACCTGTGGCAGGTGTAGTCGAGTGAAGGAAGCACACCGCGCGGGCGACCTCTGCCATAACGCGGAAGCGAACGTACCACGGCAAAACCCTTCTTCCTTGCCCCTCTCCACAGGTGATGCAGTCCTTGACGCTTCCGTTTTCCATGTGCTCATAAACGAGACACTTCTCCTCGTAACAGACTCCCAATAGAGTGAGTAAATGGGGATGCCTCAGCGCCTTCAACCTGTCGACGACTTTTGTCCGGAACTCGGAGGGATGAAGCTTGGGCCCATCCTCCGTGCCGCCGAGCTGCTTCACTGTGATTGCGGTAACCTCGCATAGTTTCCCGCGGTAAATAGTATTACTTCCATTTTGATCCCCATGATCCCCAAACTCGCATGTGATGGCAAAATTATCGGTCGCATCCTGAAGCTCCTTGTAAGAGTACTCCCTTACTTCTCCTGAGCCCTCTTGTTTTCCCAATTTCTGCTCCAACTCTTCGATCCTCAGCTTCCATTTCCTCTCCATGGTCTGGTGCTCCGATTTCAGTTTTTCGAGGGCTTTTGAGGATTCCTGCTCCCTATTGGTTGCCTCTTTTCTCTCCATTTGCCTCTTCCATTCAGACTTGGCATGGACTGCCTCTTTCCGCATTTGGTCGTTAACTTGCTTCTCCAAAGAAAGCAATCTCGACCTCTGCTTTTGTTCCACCTTCTTCTTTTCCTTTCCACTTGTGACCACCTCGAGGACTGCGAATCCTCCCCTACCTCCAATGATTATCAGATTCGAGTGTCTGCAAGGCACTATTATGCAAGGACATTCAATTCCGGGATTCTTTTCAAACAGCACGTGCTGATAGGTGGACTCACTCCAAAGTTCTATGCCATTGTGGCAATAGCTTACAGAGAAGATGTACGGCAAGTTTGGGTGAAAGAAGCATGAATCTACAGAGAAACTGAATTGACAAGAAAGCTTGGCTTTACACTCTCCTCTTTGATAGTCCCACACTCTCAATTCGCCACCGCTATGCCCTGTGACGAGCAGGGACTCCTTGTTGTGGTCACAGCAAAAGTCCAATATGTAAGGTGTATTCATGTTGGGATCCTTCAGGGTTCTTAAAGCACACCTCTTTTCCATATCCCAGATCTTGATTGTCCGATCGCATGAAACAATTGCAAAAATTAACGACTCCGTTGGATGAAATTTCACATCATATTCAACAGAAATATTATGACCTTCAAATGCTGCTACCTCCTCCCAACCCCTGTCCCAATTCCACAAAAAAATATCGCTGTCCTCAAAGAATACATCTCCCTCAAAATCCACCTCTCCCTCAAAGCATCCGGCGAGATAAGGTAACTTGCGATGGATATCAAAGCTAGATATTAACTTTTTATAAGGTGCATGAAATGTTTTGATGTGCTGCCAGTTCCAAGCCTGTATGTCATACACCTGTAAGCATGATAGCCGACTCACCACAATCCAGTTTTTCTGTGCTACGAATTTAGCCTCACTCACATCATTGCTCACGTTAGGGACGTTCCAGGAGGAGACCCTTGTCCCATCTTCATAATTCCACACTTGTACGGATTTTTTATCAGGCGCAAATAAAATCCATGGCTCACAAGGATGAATATCTATCCTCAGATTTTGTGAACAACCACCCTCCAAAATCTCTCGCCCCGTCCTCTTCAGTCTAGTCACCAATTTGACCTCCCCTTCTGCATCATCACCTTCCATGCCTCCCTCGGTTTTTCGGGAAACAAGAGGTATGGACACGCTGATGCGCTTTATCTCTAGTATAGTAACAGTGGCTGTGTCCACAGAGGCCGACCTAATTCTCTCCTCTCAGCAGCACTGTTGGTGTTGGAGGGTTGGCCCTCAGGTACTACAGACCTGTTCGTCCAGTCGTGAACCTTGCCCGACAAGTTGAGCTGGTGGCTCAACAGACTTAGTCCTTCATGATAGCTGCGGCTTGAGGATGCTTCTCGCTGCCATAACAGGGGGGGAAAAAAAAAGCAAGGGCAACGGAGAGAGAAAAGAAAATCCACAACCACACGAATATAAGGGGTCAGATTCTCCAGCCCCTCCCCAACAACCTGAGCCTCAGCTTAATAGGGGCCAGACAGAAAAAAAAAAAAAAAAAAAAAAAAAAAAAAAAAAAAAAATGACGGTGCATCTTTCCAAGTTCTAGCAGAACAGAAGGGGGGGGGGTTGCTGTAAGACAAAAAAAAAAAAAAAAAAAAAAAAAAAAAAAAAGAAGAAGATGAATGTGGGCGTTCTTATAATAAAATCTGGAAAATCACACACCATTTCCTAATATGCTCCTGTTTTTTTTTTGTTTTTTTTTTGCCCTCCTCCCCAAGGGAGGGGAGCAGTTCTCAACGGTTCACTTTATTATTTTATTTGCACATTTTGTGTTCTCATCTCACCGAGTCTGACCGAGAGGAAAGCCTCCCGAAGGGCCCTCGCTCCACTACATAACAGTCTAAGTGTATCTGGTCGTGGCAGCTGTCCAAAGACATTCAGAATGTTTCGCAGCAGTCCTAATGCATATCATGGACCATAAACAGCACAGATGCATTTCCAATGTTGCGCAGTGGAGCAAGGCCCACTGTCCAAGGCTCATAATGTGCAAAATTTCTTCACTAATGAATCATGATTGGTGTTTTGTTTTGTTTTTTCCCCTTTTCCTCTGTGTTTTCGTATTTAGGGCATGAACCCACCCTGTTAATAGGGGTCAATTTTTTTATTTTATTTTTTTGCCCCTGTATTTAGGGCATGATACTCAAACTAGGAGTTTTTCTACTTGGCTCTGGCCGGTCGGATTCATCCACGCCTTGTCAGTAATTGCGGTCAGATACGTTCAGGGTTCAAAGTGCTAGTGTGAGTATGCCCTCGGTAATTTCTTTCTTTCTTTCTTTGTCATGCTGTTTAGGTCTGCCTTGGTAAGCTTCCAAACAAGACCCGTGAACTCACACTGGAGGGGGGGACTGGGCCTATGCCCTCCCCATTCTCCTGAACGTACAGGATGTTCCGTACTGCGGAAAGAGAGCGATTAAGAATTTCGAAAGTGCAAAATGGAAACGCGATTGACCTAATATATAGCGAGGCGAAAGGGAGAGCTTATTTCGACTCCCCTTTTATTCTTACTGTCCTGTAAAATATATATATATATTGTCACACTGATATATATATCGTCACAAACAGAAACGCCCGGTGAACCGTAGGCAGAGAGAGAGAAGAGGACAACAAACGAGGGGCTGTGACAAACTGTTTCGTCGGAGTTTCACCGACTCATCAGGAGGCTGAACCCTCAACAGTCTGCAGAATCCCCTCACTGA